TTTTTTTTTTTTTTTTTTTTTTAATCTTTGGGTGTGCTTTCTTAGGAAACTGAGGCAGGGAGACATTGTTAAACTGAAGTTAGACTTGAGATTCAAACCAAGTATCAAGACATAGATAGTATTTTTTTTTATACTAAAGCCTAATCTTTGTTTCTGCTTGATTTGAGAGTATATGAGAGGCAGCCTCTTTTCTCCCCTGACCCTGAGCCAACTTGCCCTCTTGATTATATTCTTCTCAGGTTAACCCAAGGATGCTTTGTATTCCTTCAGTGTGTGCTGGCAGATGGTGGGAGGGAGGCTGGGATAGAGATTCAGTGGGGGATGGAGGCTGAAACTGTTTGTCAAAATAAGTTTTGGATTCCTAGTGTCCACTGAACTCTACAGACAGGATTATTATTCTGTTCCTTGCCTTTCTTATCCATAGAGACGTGAGATTTGACTGTGTGTAAGGAGCAGCACACATTAAGGGCAAAACCATTGCTTTAGTATCACTGCAGGAAAAGGATACTTATCTCTACCTTTAATACTATCGGTGTCCCCAATAAAGAGGACTTTCCTTTAGTGATAGCTCTCTCAGGACATTTGCCTGGCTGGGAAGGAGAGTCACTAGTGACTAGTGGGCTTTCCTTTGAATTTCAATATGATCCTTTGGTGTAGGGTATCTTTCACCCATTCCCTTCACTGATAGCTCACCACATGCCTTTCCAAGGAGTCTAGCCTCAGACCAGTGCCATCTCCCTTACATATTCACGCTCAGGGCTTCCTAATCGACACCTCACCGCGCTCCCCCCACCCCCGCCCCAAGCTAAATAGCTGCACTATTAGGGGTTGGGTTTGGACACCTAGGCATGGAGGTAGGAAGAGCTGCAGAGGGTGAGGAAGGCAAATGATTACTTCCCAGCCCCGTCTCATTTCTCCTCAGCCTGGGCTTCTAGTGGGGAAGCAACCAGGGCTTGGTTCAATTTTGATTTATTTGGTCAATTGACTACTCCTCCGAGTCCAGCCCTCCGCCTTGGGCCCTCCTGGGCATCCTGCCAGCTCTAGGCAGCAGCGTGGATGGGGCCTCTGAAACAGCTCAGCAGCTTCGGATTCAAAGTGGTTGCTGCCCTCAAGCTGTCCAGGCTTGAAAAGCAGGTATCCCCAGGAACCAGACTGGGTCCAGAAATTAGGTCCAAGCTTGACGTCCTAAAGAATCTTTGACATTTCAAGAGGCTCTTATTCTTTAAAAGGATAACACAGGCCCTTTGAATGAACCTGACCTCTGGGCCAAGAGGTGTAAGAGAGTCCAAGCTCTTTTTCCCTTGGAAACTTCAGAGTTTTGTTGTTGTTGTTTTCCTCTAATTAGAGTACCTTCTGCTCAACGAACTGAGGTCACTTTGTTCTTGTAGAGAGGGTTTAAGCATCCAACAGCTATTAGAACTAGATCTTTAGTGTCCTTTGATGCCTCTCAGTTCAATCCAACTGAAATTTATTGAGGAAACTGCTGTCACAGAGGTACGGATGCATCAGTGGATCAAACATGAGCCCAGCCTTCAAGGAGCTGCTGCAAGGAGTTCCTCAAGGAGGAGACTGACATTATTTAAAAGGCACCAGTCACACTGCTTGGCAACTGTTACCACAGAGAGAATACAGATGATCCTAGAAGGTTATAGGACATGTAACTATTGAGCAGCTACTCTGTACCCAGTGCTCCAATGAGAATAGCCAGGGAATCCTTAGTTACCATAAAACAGGAGGCTTTTGGAAAAAGCCCAGAACTCATCCATCTCATTCCTTTGGTCTCTAGTCTCTTGTTATCAGTTCACTCATTTACACTCTGCTCATTTGTTTCCTCCTTCCAGTTCTAATATTCCACCCCCATTCTCTGTTTCATTTTAGCACAGACTCCAAAAATGAGGAAAAGGGTCAGGACTCATAACTGAGTGTGTTCAGTATGCGTTAAAAATAAAACCCTTTCTAATAAAAGTTTTCTAGAAAAGCGTTTTTCAAACTTTCTTGACTCAATGTATATTGTATTATGAACTAATAAACACGTGTGCACACACACAGTTATACATAAAACTCAGCACTTAACTCTTGCTGCATGAAATGCAACCTCGTGTTTTCTACTAGATTCTGTTCACTTTCATTTAAAAAGAAATTGACTGTCATGACCCACTAAATTACTTACTTGACCTACTCTCAGCCCGCAGTTTAAAAACATGGTCCCACAAACACAGAAAATCTCTCTCCTGGATTGAAAGCCATGCTGTCCCCTGAGGACAGAGAATACACTAGATGATCTCTTGTGTTCTCCTTTCCTTCTGAGGTTCTCTGCCTGATTTTTGAGGTGATACCCTCCTAGTCTCCTTTTGGAATTCTCTTAGAAATCACTTTGTGGCTTCTCTAATTTAGTTTCTTGGCTCTTTGAAATAAATTCAAGCCTTTAGCCTGTGCATTTTATTCATTAGATTTTTTTTTTTTTTTTTTTTTTGCGGTACGCGGGCCTCTCACTCTTGTGGCCTCTCCCATTGCGGAGCACAGGCTCTGGACGCGCAGGCTCAGTGGCCATGGCTCACGGGCCCAGCCGCTCCGCGGCATGTGGGATCTTCCCGGACCGGGGCACGAACCCGTGTCCCCTGCATCGGCAGGCGGACTCTCAACCACTGCGCCACCAGGGAAGCCCTAGATTTTTTGAAAGTAATCTTCTTCTAGTTTTTCATAGATATCAGAATAAAAAGTCACAGGTCCTCATTCTGTCCCTGCCCCAGTGGTACTCTTAGCATCTGCAAGTAAGTTGTTATCTCAGTTCTGTGTTAGTTGACCAATGTAAATGAGGGATGAGCTTTCATCAGGGCTCAGCTTGAGTGTGATCCATCTCTCTGTGTTTCTGTCTTATAAGTGCAGTGTTTAAATGCTCCTGTTTCACTGTGATTTAGAATCCCTGTAATAACTTTTATGGGTTTTGCATTTTAATACTTAATTTATATTTTAATCTCAGATCATCTTGTATCTTTTTGTTTTGTTTTGGTTCATCGTCTTGGGCAAGACAGATGTTTTTGTTGCCAGGCTACACTGAGTAGTGGAAAGAGCCCTGGACCTGGGACTGGAGATGTAACGGTGACCCCAGTTCTGCACTAACTCCCTGCAGGAGTTGCCACTAACTGGTTAAGTCTCCAAGGCCTCCTGTGGTTCTGCTAAGACCATCACACTGCATCAGTTGCATGTCGCCTATGAGCTGAGGTCCTTTGGTTTCATATCTCTGGCATGGCCCAGCACATGGAAGGTACTGGAGGCTGTTTGCTGAATTGAGCTGAATTGAATTGAAAGGCAGAGGCTGGGCTGTGAAGGGCCCCATGGTCCAGAATAAGGGGCTGGACTTTATCTTGGGGGGATGAGGGGCCCAGAGAGGGTTTTAAACATGGGAGTGACATGAAGATTTGGGGCCCACAAATATCGAGGCATGGAAGCTAACAGGGAGGCTCAGGTGAGAAATCATGAGGGCCTGAGGGAGGTGGTGGAAGGGAGATGGGGAAGAAGAGCCAGAGACAGCGGGAGAGGGGGA